CGAAAAAAATTAATAAATATATCAAAATTCATATCTTTTGGTACTTTTTAAACATAGATTCATATTGAGGTAAAAAAAACGAAATTTCAGTATAAATTCACAATGTAAATCTGCTAAAATTCACGTTATGAATCTGTCCAGATTTACAATTAATAATGTGAATAATATTAAGTAAGATTCACATTGTGAATATTAAAATTAAAATATTTACAGTTCAGATTCACACTCTGAAACTGAACTGATTGAGTTTTTTTTAGTCGTTGTTGATGTTAATTAACAGATGACTAAAAATTAATTTTTTGTTATAATTAGTTTTTTTTTTCATAAAAACAAACTTAAATATTGAAAAAAACAAAGAAACGAAGTGAGTTTTTTCGAAATTTTTTTTATATATATCAACATAAATCTTTATGGAAAGAGGACGGAAAATTGTAAAGAACGGTGTATTCATTTTTTTTCCCGATAAAAGACATGGTTTAAAAAAAATTTAAACGAAAAAAAGATGTGAGTTTTTTGGTAAAAAATGTTAGTTTTATGGTATAATCTGGTGTATGTGCGTTCAATGTAAAAGTGCATATATATTTCGTTGGCCGTTGATCGCTTTAAAATTCGACGCTCACGATTCCTTGTTAATAATGGTTATATATATATATAAGTTCAATAGATAACAATTATTAATCAATGAACCAAGAAACCAATCCAAAGCGTCGGAATTTAAAGCGATCAACGGCAAAATGAAGAGTTGTAAACTTTTATAATGGACGCACATGTACTGGATTATAACAAAACTCACTTCCTTTTTTTCATTTAAAATTTTTTTAGGCCAAGTTTTTTATCGAAAAAAAAAAACCGAATATACCGTTTTTCACGATTTTTCGTCCTCTTTCCATAGAGATCCATGATGATATATAAAAAACGAATTTTTTTTTTTCGAAAAAAACTCACTTAATTTTCTTAGTTTTTTCAATATTTAAGTTTATTTTTTTTTAAAAAAACTAATTATACAAAAAATATTAATTTTTTGTACTCTATTAATAAACATCAACACCGATTAAAAAAAAACCTCGAACAGTGTAGATTCACACTGTGAATCTAAACTGTAAATATTTCAATTTTTAACATTCACAATATGAAAAATCTCGAACAGTTCAGATTCACGTTGTGAATCTGAATTACTATTATGCACACTGTGAATCTGAGAAGGTTCACAAAAAAACAAAAAAAAAAACAAAAAAAAACAAAAAAACTCGATCAGTATAGATTTACACTGTGAATCTAGACTGTAAATATTTTAAATTTTAACATTCACAATGTGAAAAAGCTCCGATCAGTTCAGATTCACACTGTGAATCTGACTTATTATGCACACTGTGAATCCGAGGAGGTTCACAATGTGAATCTGAACAGGTTCACAATGTGAATCTGAATTGAAATATCGTTTTTTTTTAACATGAATATGAATCTATGTTTAAAAAGTACAAAAAATATGAATTTTTATATATTTATTAATTTTTTTGTATAAAAAATAGACCTTAACTTTTTTCATCAAAGAAAATGAAGTGGTTTTTTTCGAGAAAAAAAAAGTTCGTTTTTTATATATCATCATGGATGCCTATGGAAAGAGGACGGAAAATCGTGAACAACGGTATATTCGGTTTTTTTTTCGATGAAAAACATGACCTAAAAAAAAGTGATGGGTTTTTTTTGTAAAGGGTGGATTTTTTGGTATAATCATGTGTGTGTGCGTCCAATGTAAAAGTGTACATATATTTCGTAGGCCGGTGATCGTTATAATTTCCGACGCTCACGATTGGTTCTTTGTTTCCTTGGTTAATTATGGTTCTCTATTGAACCTCACCCTTTATATATATATATATATATATATATATAATATAGTAATATATGGAAAAGTTCAATAGAGAACCATTATTAATCAAGGAACCAAAGAACCAATCCAAAGCGTAGGAATTTAAAGCGATCAACGCAAATGAAAATGTTGTAAAATTTTATAATGGTCGCACATGTACCGGATTATAACAAAACACATTTTCTTTTTTTCATTTAAAATTTCTTTTAGGCCAAGTTTTTTATCGAAAAAAAAAACCGAATATACCGTTGTTCACGATTTTGCGTCATCTTTCCATAGAGATCCATGATTATATATAAAAAACGAACTTTTTTTCGAAAAAAACCCACTTAATTTTCTTAGTTTTTTCAATATTTAAGTTTATTTTTTATAAAAAACTAATTATACCAAAATATTAATTTTTTGTACTCTATTAATAAACATCAACACCGATTTAAAAAAAAAAAAAAACCTCGAACAGTGTAGATTCACACTGTGAATCTAAACTGTAAATATTTTAATTTTTAACATTCACAATATGAAAAATCTCGAACAGTTCAGATTCACATTGTGAATCTGAATTACTATCATGCACACTGTGAATCTAAGAAGGTTCACAAAAAAAAAAAATCTCGATCAGTGTAGATTCACACTGTGAATCTAAACTGTAAATATTTCAAATTTTAACATTCACAATGTGAAAAAGCTCCGATCAGTTCAGATTCACACTGTGAATCTGACTTATTATTATGCACACTGTGAATCTGAGGATGTTCACAATATGAATCTGAACATGTTTATAATATGAATCTGAACAGGTTCACAATATGAATTTGAACTGAAATATCCTTTTTTTTTTTTTTTTTTTTTTTAACATGAATATGAATCTATGTTTAAAAAGTACAAAAAAAATGAATTTTGATATATTTATTAAATTTTTTTCTATAAAAAATAGACCTTAATTTTTTTCATCAAAGAAAATGAAGTGGGTTTTTTTCGAAAAAAAAAAGTTCGTTTTTTATATATCATCATGGATCTCTATGGAAAGATGACGAAAAATCGTGAACAACGGTATACTCGGTTTTTTTTTAATAAAAAACATGGCCTAAAAAAAATTTTAAACGAAAAAAGTGGTGGGTTTTTTTGTAAATGATGAATTTTATGGTATAATCCGGTGTGTGTGCGTCCAATGTAAAAGTGTACATCTATTTCCTTGGCCGTTGATCGTTATGATTTCCGACGCTCACGATTGGTTCTTTGGTTAATTATGGTTCTCTATTGAACCTCACCCTATATATATATATATATATATATATATATATATATATATATATATAATATATATATATATATATATATATATATCTATATAGACACACACTGTTGTATTTGGGGTTATTTAAAATAGTATTGTTTATTAATTTGCAACCAACAATAATTCACTAATTCACCAACTTCTATATGAACCCCATTTATTCGTCATGCCTTGTCATATGTGTGAATGTGTTGTGTTTGTTTTTTATGATATTTAAAGACACACATAATGATATAATAGTAGAAAAACAACGTAATAGGATTTTCGACAAACTCAAATTGACCACAAATTGTACTTCTCAACCAAAGCAAGCCATCTACAAATATGCTTATCCCTTGTTGACCATTTCCCAAGAGATTGTGTGAACATATTGACATATAAAATTTATGTATTCATATGTGAAACATCCAACCGTTATCATGCTATCATGCAATCAGTTGACCTACTGCTATATAAATGAAGAATCTGTTGCCATATACCCAACTACACTTACAAAGAAATAATTAACAAACTATCCTTCGCTGTAACGTGTTTCCTTAAAAACGATGGCATCCCGTGACTCCGCTATTCCTCATCATGACCATGCCGCAGTTAGTATGGAGGTACCACTAAAGACGTCAGCACCACCACCAGAGTACAGTGCTAAAAGAGGTGCAGGTGGATCCAAGAAGCATGCCGTGGTTGATGTGTTCTTTAGAGTCGTGCTATTTGCAACTTCTGTGGCTGGTATCGTTCTTCTGATCATTTCTAATCAAACTGAGCTTATTCCGGTTGCACCCGGGATAGCAATATCCAGGACTGGAAAATTCAGTCACTCCCCAGCTCACATGTAAGTAATTAACATCAACTTCAACCACGAAAACCATTGACACAAACTGCATCTTTATTGTGGGACGTGATATTTACACTCTTTTAATTTTGTGATGTAGAAACCTTTTGGCATCGCTCTCCACGGCTGCTTTATACAGCATCATCACTGGTTTAATATCAGTTTTTGCTCTCATGAAGGCAGGAGGAACCTCATCAAAGCTAAGATTTCATTTTGTGATACTCGATTCAGTAAGCTCTTGAACCACACTAACTTCTTTAATTAAATGTTTCATCCAAATATCAGCAATGCAAAATAAGTTTACTTGAAGAAGCATGTAGATCATATATTTATCTATGAAAAGGATACTAACATATAATCATCGGGTATGGTGCAGCTGCTATTAGGTATCATGGCTGCCGCAACAGGAGCATCAGGGGGTGTATCATACGTAGGACTCAAAGGAAACTCTCATAGCAGATGGAACAAGATCTGTGATACGTACGATACTTACTGCATCCGCGTTGGAGCCTCTATTGCTTTGTCGCTCGTATCGTCCATAACACTTCTACTGTTGGTTTGGATCAACGTTTATGCACTTTCCAAGAAGATTGCCAGGCGATAGTTTGCTACATATGAAAAATATTTCCGAAGTACAAGTTTCATGTTATTAATCTTTTGTGGTGTAAATGTTCCATGTACTTGTGTTATTTCGTGCCAGTTTTGTGCTTGTGATATTTGTGATTGATAAAGATTGCATTAAAGTTTATAGTTAATTTTGTTATATTTCAAAGCATTGGAGGTCCTACATATGTTGAGAGAGGAAGATAAATCTTTAGAGCATTCGATCTTTCGTCTTTCCGCGACTTTAGAGCATTTGATCTTTTTGACTTTAGAATAATTCATGGATTTTGAAAATTTTGCAAGTGCTTTATTACGTGAACGCAAGCCTTTATTTTTAAGGATTGCATGAAAAACGAAATGTGTCGATATCCACTAGGGTCAAAGTTCACGGTAGGCATGACATGGCGGCAATGTCAAACTTGAAGTTTTTTCAAGCCATGGCAAGTTACATCGTTTGTGAAACGTGACTTAAAACAACAATTTTATATATAGTTAATAATTTTATATATATATATTCTACCATTATTTATTTTTATATACATATATCATTTAAGTTGATAGAAGTTTTATATTCTACCATTATTCTACTTTTTCATATTATTTTTATCATCCTCTTTTTACAACGCATTCAATATTACGAACGATTGGAACATCTATTTTAAATCTAAAAAGGTGTTTTTTTTTTCCGATTGAACGTTCAGTATATAGTCATTGAATTTCATATATGTATGCTCTAAAAAGTAACAGTATTTCAATTAAACTCAGTTTGTTAATTAAAAGAGGTTTATTACACTATTTGAGGACAAATGTTTAAATATTAAAGTAGATTCTTCAAAATGACTAAAAAAATAATATATCTTAAACAACAGATAAATAAAAACGTTACTATCTAAAAGTTAAAAATAATATTTTTCCCACTTGATTATAAAAAAAAAATGTAAAGTTCAATTATAATAAGAGTAAGAAGTTCTGATACAGGAATCAAGGCAATAGGTTACATTTGTCGTCCCTAAAGCCCTTAAAAATCGTCCCTAAAGCCTTTAGCGACGATACGTCGTCTCTAATACGTTCGTCACTATTGTCGCGTAGCTGTTGCTCAACAGTCGTCACTAATGTGGATGTCACCCCTATTGGTGTCGTTCCTATTGACATATGTCGCCCCTATTGGTGTGGCCCCTATTGCTAATTAATTTTTTAAATAAAAAATTATTGAATGCAAGATTACTATATGATTATGATGTTCATCTTGAAGGGAGTTCATCCATGTTCATCTTGAAGGGAGTTCATCCATGTTCTGCATATATTCACCGTTCAAGATTACAAAAAAATGACCATAAAAAGAAATAGCAAACACAAAGCAAAAAAATATATTGACATTTATCTAACAAAGTTTACATCAGTTTGTATATCTAAAAAAATCCACAAAAGTTATTAACTTTAATATTACAAAGGAAAATCTATTTCTTGAACTCTCTAAAACTCTCTTTCTCTGTAACTTTCTTTGTAATGAAAAATCTATTTCTTTAACTCTCTAACATTCTCTTTCTCAGTAACTTTCCACCCCCCCCCCCCCCCCTGTTTCTTAGATGGAAAACCATGTGAAGGTGGTGCTTGAAGGTGGTTGATGGCGGAGATGCAGTTTGATGATGGCTGATGGCGAAGAATGGTGGAAGATAGTGAAGTTGTAGTTTTTCTATTGGTGTTTGATTATGGAAAATAATGTTAGATGATGAGGTGTTGCAAGAACAAAAGTAGTTCTAGTGGTCGTGGATGGTGGCCAAGTTTGGTGGTGGTGGTGGTGGTTGTAGTTAAGTTTAGAGAGAGAGAGAGAGAGATGAGAGAGAGAGAGAGAGAGAGTATGGTGGCGGACGGTACCCAAGGTTAACTTATCAGATCATGAAAACAAAGGTGGACCGTGGGATTGTCAATGAGATGGAGGGTTTGGATTACACAAGAAGAGAGCACACGGATCGTGAGCAATAGTGACGACGATAGTATTAGAGGCGACAATTGCAAAACATTAGCGACGATATGAAAAATGTGGGGGGAAAATATCGCGGTCTTTTTTCGTCGGTATTAGTGACGACACTAATAGGGGTGACAAGGGCATTAGTGACGACATTCCCAGGTGTCGCCACTAATTCCTGCGTCGTCGCTATTGATGACGTCACTAAAGACAATTATAATTTCAATGCTTGCTTTCTCCTTAAACAATGATACGTATAAATACAAAAGGATTCCTAATACTAAGGAAAGGATATACACCATCCATTACATAAATACATATACAGAATATATCTCGCTAAGAGTCCCCCTCAGTCTTAGCGGGAAGAAGACGGACGCTGAGACTGTCTCTAAAATCAAGAAATAGCTGTCGCGGAAGGCCTTTAGTAAATATGTCAGCATATTGATAAGTAGATGGAATATGAAGAACTCGTATTTGACCAATAGCCACCTTTTCACGGACAAAGTGTATATCCATTTCAATGTGTTTGGTACGTTGGTGTTGCACAGGATTACCGGATAAATAGACAGCAGAGACATTGTCACAATAGACGATCGTGGCACGTTTCAGGGGTGCATGTAACTCGAGAAGAAGGTTGCGAAGCCAACAGGCTTCAACAACTATATTAGCAACACCACAGTATTCGGCTTCAGCACTGGACCTTGAAAGAGTGGCTTGACGCTTGGCAGACCATGAGATGAGATTGTCACCGAGAAAAATGCAATATCCGGATGTAGAGCGGCGGGTGTCCGGGCAACCGCCCCAATCAGCATCAGTATAGGACACTAGCTGAGTGGATGGAGAGGATAATAACGTAAGACCATGATCTAGGGTGCCTTTGATGTGCCGTATAATCCGTTTTAAAGCATTAAAGTGACTGATTTTTGGAGCGTGCATAAAGAGGCAGATCTGTTGCACGGCGTATGCTATGTCGGGACGTGTGAATGTAAGGTATTGGAGAGCTCCCACAAGACTCCGATATAGAGATGGATCAGCCACAGTATCACCGTCATGAAGACTGAGTTTGGAATTAGTGTCAACAGGAGTGGTGACCGGTTTGCATACTTCCATGTTGGCACGTTTGAGGATTTCTTCAACGTATTTGCGTTGAGATAAGAACATGGTGTTCTTTGTGCGCGTGACAGAAAACCCGAGGAAGTAAGATAGCGGGCCGAGATCAGTCATGTCGAATTCCCGTTTTAGAGCACTGAGGAGCCAAGTTTTGAGTGTTATAGATGAGGTAGTTAACACTATGTCATCGACATATAGAAGTAGATAAGCTGTCTCATGGTGTTTTTGGTAGATAAATAAGGAATTGTCACTCTTGCTGCACACAAATCCAATAGTTAGTAAATAAGATGCAAATCGTTGATACCATGCACGCGGTGCCTGTTTTAACCCATACAAGGATTTCTTTAATTTGCAAACATGGTCCGGATAAGTAGTGTTAAAAAAACCAGGTTGTTGGTGCATATATACGGTTTCCTTCAAATTACCATGTAAAAAATCGTTTTTCACATCCAATTGATGAACATCCCAATTTCGAGCCATAGCGCGGCTAAGAACAGTGCGAATGGTGGCCGTTTTGACAACCGGGCTGAAAGTTTCATCGCAATCAATACCAACCTCTTGTGTTTTTCCATTCACTACAAGTCGTGCCTTGTAGCGCTCCAAAGTGCCATCTGCCTTAAATTTGTGCCGAAATAACCAGTGACATCGAATAACATTGTGATTTGATGGTCTAGGCACAAGATCCCATGTTCCCTGCTTCAATAAAGCATTATATTCAGTAGTCATAGCATCGAGCCAGTTTTGATATTGTAAAGCAACCCGTGGGTTGGATGGGATTGGGGATATTTGTTGAGTGTGGAGTGTGTATTTGGTGTTTGGTTTGATAATTCCACTTTTAGATCATGTATTCTTGTGAGAGGATGATGGAGGGTTAGGGATAATCGGGGGTGGTGGTGGTGGATGAAGGTGGTGGTGAGGTGGGGAGGGTGGAGGTGAGTGTTGTGGTGAATTTTGAGGTGAGGGTGGGGGTGAAGGTGGTGGGGAGGGTGGTGTTGTATTCGTTGGGATAAGTTGAAGGTTAATTAAGTATGGTGATGGGTCGTTTGTATCTAGAAACTCATAGGATTCAGCTCAATACTTTGCAATATTAGAATAAGGGAAAATATGTTCATGAAAGGTGACATGGCGAGAGATGATAGGTTTGGAGTTATCGAGTGGTAGGCATAGATAACCACGATGATTGTCAGGATACCCAAGGAAGACACAAGGGATAGATCGTGGGGTTAGTTTGTGGGGGACGGTGGATGTAGTGTTGGGGTAACATAGACACCCAAATGTTCGTAAATGTTTATATGTGGGAGTACGAAGGTAAAGGATTTGAGTTGGTGTTTTGTTACCAATGACACGTGATGGTAGGATGTTGGTAAGATATGTGGATGTATGGATCGCATAGTTCCAAAATGAGGGTGGTAGTGACGCATGAATTAAAGATGTTCATACCATGTTATTGAGGGTTCGAATTATGCGTTGTGCCTTGCCATTCTGAGGGGAGGTGTATGGGCAGGTGAAGCGAAGTTGAACACCATTGGTGTTGCAAAACTGTGTGAAGGCTGCGTTGTTAAATTCACGTCCATTGTCGCACTGAAAGGATTTAATGTTGGTGGAAAATTGAGTTTGGACATATTTGTAGAATTGCGTGAGGAGCAGAAAAGTTTCAGATTTGGCTTTAATGGAAACGTCCAAATATAATGTGAAAAATCATCAAGTAACACAAGGTAGTAGGTGTGGTTGAGTTTACTTTTAACAGGTGATGTCCATATATCAGCATGAATAATATCAAAGGGTAAATATGTAACAGAAACAGAATCATCAAAGGGTAATCGACAATGTTTTCCCATCGAGCAAGCATTAAATTAAAACAAAAGTATTTTTAGAGCTAGAAAACGAAAGACACGAATTTAAATATTGTAAATTAGAAACTGCAGGATGACCAAGACGGTTGTGCCACATATTTGGAGACTCCGTATAAAAAGCGACAAGTGGGTGCTCGTTGGTAAGTGATGGTGTGAGTGGATAAGATCGCCAGGGCTGTTACACCGGGTGATATGTTTCTTCGTGATAAGATCCATCACAGTAAAACCGAATGGGTCAAATTCAACAGATGTATTATTGTCACGATTA